AAGTTTCTTTCTGTATTCCAGAGATTTGGGGTAGGAATGAGTCAAAAGAACAGTGAAGTTTTTAAGAAAGGGGCAAAGTCTTTCTAACTTACGATCCAACATCCCAGTAAAAGGTATTCCCTAATTACTGAAGAGATAAGTTGGAACATTCTGGGTAGAGAATGTGAAACTCTTAAGGTAGGACCAGGACTTAGACTTGAAGCATGGATTTATAGAGTTAGAGATGAAGCACAAACTAGATATCCTCTGATACCCTTGAAAATGTGCTCCCATATGGTCAATTTGTCCCTTTTGTGATGGGCTGTTCTCAGAGAAGGTTTTGGCAGATGTCCATTTGAGGTTCTATCCTGTGCTCCCAAGACAGTGGTCCTGGCTTCACCAGCTTTACCCTCACGGATCTTACAGGCTGATCATGCCCCGATAGAGGGGCCCAGATGGAAGCTTGAACATACAGTGGATTATGTTACAGGAGAGGAACAGTGAGCTTGGGGGAGCCATCTCTTTTATGTCAGGCAATAAGCAAGCCTTTTCTTTGTCCCAGAAGGAGACATCAGGGTTGTGTGCTACAAACACTAACTTGAGAAATGGGCCATAAAAGAGCTGTCAGGGCCCTGCTTCGAAGTTCAAAACCCTGTGGATCCTACTTTCTCTCAGATATCTTGACAATATGTCATAGAAACCTTAAGTTCAAATTTGGACAAATTATCTTCACCCATACTTGCTTCTTTCTCTATTTTCCTTTTCACGGAGGCACTGAGTCATTCTCAACATTTTCCTCATCCACCAGGTCATCGGATTTTTTTTAGTTCTACCTCTTAAATATCTCTTATGTTTCGCCCTCTGCACATCACTGACTTGGGTTCTACCCTCGTTATAAAAAGGTCAGAATTAAATAGACAATTGCAGTAGGCTCTAACCTGGCATCCCTGCCCCCACTTCCACCTCCTGCAAACCAGCATCCTAAAATGCAGAATTGTTCATGTAACTCCTGTGTTGAACACTCTTCACTCATTAAGCCTTCCAGGTAAAATCCAAGCTCCTTATCCTGGTCCACCTACTTCTCCAGCTCCATCTACTGACATTTCCTGTAAGCTTTCTTACAGACCTTTTATAAGAGGGAAGACATGTGGGAACATAGGTATATGTATAACTGATTCACTTTGTTATAAAGCAGAAACTAACACACCATTGTAAAGCAATTATACCCCAATAAAGATGTTAAAAAAATTAATTTCTTTGGATAATTTTTTCTCTCTTGATTTTTAGAATATTAAAATATAACTACCTGGGTATGGGGGGGTGGAGCATGGGGAGTAGTTATCTTCCATGCCAAAAAAAAAAAGAATTGCTTGCTGGTAAGCATGCACCTCTTGCCACTTTTAGACTCAGTATCATTTAAAACGTAGCATTCCTTGGCATGTGGCAGGCATGTAATATATGTATGCAGCATAAATATTTATTGAGTGGCTGCAAGTAAAAATAGGCTTAGCTTAATTTAAATGCAAGAAGGGTTTGACTTGGGGAATTATTTAGTTCCACCTTCTCTCTGTGTACTCCCTTCAACCAGTTATAATGATGGAGCTCTTTTGACAGACATTGGATGATAATTTAGCTAAATGAAAACACAAAAAGAGGGTACGGATATTGCTTATATCTACTTTGAAGACAACCCCAAACTCGCCACCTACTAATAACTGTAATTCTCTTGTTAAATTAAACAACTCTACTACAAATACAGACAAATCAAATTAATTTTACTTTTCTAAGGAACCAGTGAGTCATGAGTCATTACAATACTCCTCGCCTTTTTTGTTACAGTGGAAAAAGATAAAAGCACGGCACGTCAAGTGGCTATCTAAAACTACTGTCCTGTCTTCTAACCCTTAAAACACACCCATATTAACTTTAAATTATGTCTCTGGCAAAATGTATAACCCATCTCATTAATTCTGTGACTCTGTCAGCAATAGTCTGAACTTTTTAAAAAAATTTATTTTATTAAAGTATAGTTGACTTACAATGTTAATTTTTGCTGTACAGCAAAGTGCTTCCGTTATACATATATATGTATATGCGTGTGTGTGTGTATATATATATACACACACACACACACACATTCTTCTTCATATTCTTTTCCATTATGGTTTATCACAGGATATTGAATATAGTTCCCTGTGCTCTACAGTAGGATATCGTTGTTTATCCATCCTATAAATAACAGTTTGCATCTGCTAATCCCAAACTCCCACTCCACCCCTCCCCCAGTTCCTCCCTTCCCCCTTGGCAACGACAAGTCTGATCTCTATGTCTGTGAGTCTGTTTCGTAGATAAGTTCATTTGTGTCATATTTTAGATTCCACAGATAAGTGATATCATATGGTATTTGTCTGTCTCTTTCTGAAGCATCTGAGCTTTTATATCATGCCTGAGGCAGGCTTAGGCTCTAGGACGCTTAGTCAGTAGTAACGCTTCTGAATGGTCACAAGTTGGTCCACTTCACTAAATGGTGTTAAAGACCCAAGTCTCTTGTTTACATGCTTGGACACACCTTTGACTATAATGGAAATGAGAGTTCCCCTTCTGTAGGCTCTTGAAGCCACCTTATTACAATATGCAATTGTAACTGGAACCTGCCTGATGAGCTTAAGTCTTGCACCGCTTCCTGGCAGAGCTCTTCTTCTCCCTCCGGGGGAGTCAGAAAAGCAGCAACATCTCCACCCTGGACAGAACTCACAGTGGTACCCAAAGGCTGAACCATCTGCCGAGCCTTGGTTCTGTGCTGGGCCAGGCCTGCTGCACTGCTTGCTGTTGGAGCCTGGCAGAGAGGTGTGTCTACTCCATGGTCACAGACGAGGACCATGCAGGAACGCACCATTTGTGGTTGGCAGAGCATATTCAGCCTGAAGAAATATTTCCACAGACTCTTAGTTTTCCATCCTCATGTAGCCAGCCCTAAGACATCGTCAAAGTAGCAGTCACTGGTAAGGCCTGTCTGGCTCCTTGTAGACTTGTTGATCCAATAGCACCTGCTGGAGCCTGCTCAAAGTGCCCTTTCTTTATGACTCCAGCTTTGGACATGGGGACAGGAGCCTTACAGCACCTTGACTAGGCTTAGTCTGGCCTGCCCTTGCCATCTCTTGCTGGTTCCTGATGCGCTGCCTGCCCTCTGTGGTTCATTTTCCTTAAAAAACCTGGATCCTTAACTGTGTGATGGCCTCAGGACACCACTCAGTGTTGGCAATTAATGTGGGCCTGTTCTCTGCTAAACTCCCCTCGGTAATTTCATTTGAACCCAGTTATCATCCAGGCTGTTAACAGATCACCCCTTCCTGGAGAGACCGTTTCCACTCAGCCATGAGCTTCATTATTTATATTTTTCTTAAATAATACAATCATCATCCTAGTTAATATTTTTTTTTGGACACACCTTTGACTATAATGGAAATGAGAGTTCCCCTTCTGCTCTGTTTCCTCCTATACCTCTTCAAGCCGTTAAAACACATCCGTATGTCATTTCATCACAGAAGGAATTCCCTGTGACTTCTCTTTATAAAATATTCTGATCCCGTCTACATACACCTTTGGGTTTGTTGTTTTCAAGTTCTGGATTGTGTTTCTACTGGGACTGCTTCCCAAGATCCCTTTTTAGAAGTAGAAGAGCATCTTTCTAGTGACCTTTTAAGTCTAACTGGCTCGACTTGCCTTGGACCAGTCTTAATTTGAATGCCTTCAGGTAGAATCTTTACATGCTCAAAATGCTCCCAATAATTTCCTATATTCTTTTATCTGGCCAACTTTGTTAATTTATATAAACTAGCTAAATATCTATCCTGTAACCAGTTCCAGTCCTGGGAACACCTGCCAAACCATCTAAGTTGTCCTTTGTCCCTCCCTACCTACCCTTTGTCCTTCTGACAGAGTCCTTATCATCTAATGGAAACAGTATCCTTAACTCTTTGTCCAATGTGCTAGCCCTTCTTTAAGGCCCATCTTAAGTGAGAAATTTCCCTCCAATGAGATTCCACTACCCTAATGATTCTACCATCCCATATATGCAGGTCTCTGATCATTAAATTTGATCTCCTATTAAATCATTCTCCATTTTGAGTCCTAATATCAAGTCTGGGAGAATATGAGTTAAATCTTTTTCTCTGTTTTTAAATTAAAAATACTAAAAGAGGGCTTCCCTGGTGGCGCAGTGGTTGAGAGTCCGCCTGGCGATGCAGGGGACACGGGTTCGTGCCCCGGTCCGGAAGGATCCCACATGCCGCGGAGCGGCTGGGCCCGTGAGCCGTGGCCGCTGAGCCTGCGCGTCCGGAGCCTGTGCTCCGCAACGGGAGAGGCCACAACAGTGAGAGGCCCGCGTACCGCAAAAGAATAATAATAATAATACTGAAAGAACTAAAAATAGTCGAGCCTCAATGTTTCACATACTGGCTTGCTGTACAATTCTTCATTTCTAGTTTCCAGAGAAAACGATTCACCAACCTTTGCTTTATCTACCTTTTGCAGTTATGTATAAGGACATAGACTTACTCACCTTAAACACTCCTAACAACAGTTCTATCTCACCTTCCCAATAGGCCCTGTTTCCCCACACACTCACACAAATTACTTGCATAGTATTATAAATGAGTCTGTATATGCTTTTCAGGAAATTTTTTCATATTTGAAATAAAAACTTTGTTAAAGTAGCTAAAGTCAAATAGTTGTTGCTAACAGTTTTATCAAAACATGGATTAAAAACGTAAGATAATTGCACAAAATGTGCCACTTTTGCAAAGAGTTACTTAGCTTGCTGGGAGCAGTAGCTAGGAGGCTAAGTTTTAGAATTACTCTTCTACTCTTGGGCAAATAGATCAATCACTTATAAAAGTTGATCTTCAGTTATAAATGGACGTGATTACCTCTTTTATAGAGTTTAAAAGACCTGGTGGCTTTTGTTGGAATGCACAGAATCTACATAAATGCCTATATGTTTTTGTTTTTTAACTTTATAGGAAATTAATGTGTTGACAGTCGCATTGGTCAACCAAGACCGAGAGAACAATATTGAGAAAAGAAGCCAAGGCTTAAAATCAGAGAAAGAAGCTCTGCTGATCGGTAAGGAAATTCTGTTTTCCTCATCTGTTCTCTCGTAGGTAATAATTCACTTACACAATATTTAAGTAATTCACCTCCAACTTGTTAATTTAAAAGCTTTGTCAGAGGTAGGATTAACTTCATCAAGATTGTATTACACACATTTCAAATTAGGGGCATGCAAGCCAGTGGGGACTTTGCTCTTCTGTAACTATGTATATTAGTTGGTTATCCAACATAAAACTGAGTACAAGGAAAACAGATTAACTTGCATTTCACATGTTATAAATCTGAATTTCAAAATGTGGACACAACTGGACGCCAGGTTGGGTTCAGTGCAAAAGTTTCACACCAAGCCAGATCCCCAGGCTCAGGAGCGGCCACGTCGTGAGGTCAGTCCCAAGGCCAGACCTGAAATGCTGATGATACAGGGACATCTAGACTACAGTGCTAGGCCAATCTAGGACAGTCTAGCCAGGCTTCCCTGCCCAAGTCTGGACTCATTTATCCAAGATAAATAAGACGAGCTGGACACTAAGGAAGGGGAAAGAAGCAGCAAGGAAGTTGCTGTTCACCTAAACATATTCAGCTGCCCCACGAAATACATCTAAGTTGGCTTTTTCTTTGTCAGGACCAGAGAAAGCTCTAAATATTCTCTCTTTTCTTATTTATTTATTTTTTACTGAAGTATAGTTGAATTACAATGTTGTGTTAATTACTGCTGTACAGCAAAGTGACTCAGTTACACATACATGTATACATTCTTCTTCATGTTCTTTTCCATTATGGCTTATCACAGGATATTGAATATAGTCCCCTGTGCTGTACAGTAGGACCCTGTTTATCCATCCTGTATATACCGGTTTGCATCTGCTAACCCCAGACTCCCAATCCAACCCTGTCCCCACTTGATAGTGATCAGCGTATACAAAAGCAGTACTTAGTCTCATAAGGAAGTCTTCTCAGTGGGGCTGTGGTGGTACCGTGCCTGGGACCCCACCTTCGAAGCCTGTATATTTAAGGCCGTCTCCAGAGTTCTCAAATCCAGAGAAGGAGAAGCCACCAGCTTCACTCCCTGATGCACAGCATTGATTCAAGCTGCACCTTGGCACTGACCCCAGTGTTAGCGTCCAAGTTTAGCCTGGCTCCTCTATGGCGTGATTAAGAGTGAGGAACGAGGCTGTTGTACACATGAGACAAACTGTTCTTCTGTGGTTTGTTATCTGGCAGGAGTACCGCCTGGTTGCAGTTTCTAAATATTGCATGCACTCACCTCAAAATGACAGGTGCATCAGGTCCTGTAGAAGCTGGCACAGGAGGAATTAAATTCAAAAGAGAGTCTCAACTTCATCCATCATCTATAGATTTTCTCAACTACAGGGTTATTGAATATGACATCAACTTAGAGCTACTCCAAGGAAAACCAATTATTTTTTTTCCTCTGTGATGATATACAGCTGTGATAACATGCCGTGCACAAATTTCATAAGACATGCTGATGTGCTATCGGTTCCAGGAACCCAAAATGAACCCGTATGTAGTTAGCAACTGGATTTTTCTCCTCTTGGAAAATGTGTCAAACTCTGACAACTGTTTCTCTTTCGCTCAGTGTGACAAAGTTGTGATTTCCCCCATGATACTTTCAGGGTATGAACAGAGCACGTAGTTAATGATCAGCAGTAAACTCTCCCTCTTTAAGTCTGAGTAATATAGACCGCTTGACGGTAAAAACATGGAAATGGGTATCCATTTTCTTTATTTCCTTCCTCTCACAATAGACTGCTGCTTCTCCTTTTATGTTCTACTTGGAGAACATAGTTCATTTACAATATCTGGTAAATAGTTACTGTATATATAGATAGATGGATAGATTATATATATACGCACACTATTTATGTTATTTTACATATATAAATTTATTTACAGTATATTATATATAAATTACTCTAGGTGTAGACACGGACACACATACACATACACACACACACACACACACACACACAGGTCTTCCTCAATTTATGATGGGGTTACATGCCGGTAAACTCATCATAGGTTTAAAATATGTAAGTCAAAAATGCATTTAATACACCTAACCTACCAGACATCGTGGCTTAGCTCAGCCTACCTTAAACATGCTCAGAATACTTCTTAGCTAACAGTTGGGCAACATCTAACACAAAGCCTGTTTTATACTAAAGTGCTGAATAGCTCATGTAATCTATTAACTACCCTCCCGAAAGTTAAAAACAGAATTGGTTGTGTGGGTCCCGAATGGTGTGTCGGTTGTTCACCCTCATGATCGTGTTGCTAACTGGGAACTTCGTCTCAATACCGCCGTCCAGCATCAGAATATGATACTGCATATCACTAGGTGGGGAAAAGATCAAAATTCAAAATTTGAACTGTGGTTTCTACTAAATGTGTACTGCTCTCGCACCATCATGAAGTCAAAAAAATCGTTAAGTTGAACCATTGTAAGTTGGGGACCATGTGTACACACACACACACGACACAAACATTTTTTTTCAATCAGCCACCTCACAAGTTTAAAAACAATATGCTTTACACACTGTAGGTTAATGGGAGTAAATACGAGGGTTACGTTTATAACATGTCAACTCTGCTGAGGTCTCTAATATTAGAAAAAACTTAAAAATTGGTAAATTCAACTGTGTTTGGAATTAAAAATTTAGTAAGTCGGGATCTTCAATAAAAATTAGGTACAGCCAACTCCAAATTTTCCAGGCCTCTTCTCTCACTTTTGGTCTCTTAAACTGGTCCCTCAGATTAGCATTTGAAAGTTCAGCATTGAACAAAAGCAAAACAGCATGTGACACTCAATTTGAATGAATATATGAGACTGTTTAGGTAGAAGGGAGGCTGGAGACTTAAGGTTTGGTTAAATTTAGGAATTTAATTTTCCCTCCATTTCTCCATTACCTCTCCACCACAATATTTTATTTTACTCTGTTTAATGTAAGTTTTATTACAGATGTGACTTCCTGCCCAAACCCTACCCCCAAATTCCTAGGTACTTACACTGTTTTGTAGTCAAAGAGAGAGTAAACATTCAAAAGAATGCCAGGGTAGAGAAGAGTTTCCAAGACTGGCTAAACAGATCTTGCCGAAGGGTGCAGTTGTCCCCGCCATTAAACGTGCCTCTCTGCTAATTGAGTTTGGCCGTTCATGTTTTGTAGAAATCTAAATGTTGGGACCATAAAGACCTCTCCTGCAGCTTCTGGAATCCAGATAAGGACTGTGATAGAGACGGAATGACAGAATATGGGTCCAAAACTGCTCTGGACCAGGCTAGAGAGAGAAGGGAGTTTCTGGTGCTGGGGCTACTCTTTTCTGAAGAATACTTGTGGGGAGAATGATTCTGAGAGCCCCCTGGACTTCTGATACATCTGGAGGGGTCAGGAATACTCTGCAGTTTCCCTGGAATCTTCCCTTGGAATAACTAAACCCGTATGTAGGATACAGTAGGCCTGCTCTAAGTCACTCTAAAAGGCTAGGAGCACAGCAGAAAATCTCCCTTGTATTGGAAATGCTTATCGGCAAAATCTTCAGCACATGTAGATGCGCTATACGCAAATATATTCAGGTAACCCCCTGTTGGGACACACAGATGTTATATAAAAAATGCACAGTGGCACAAATCTTGATTGCCTGGAAGAGAAAAGGGGAGTGAAAGATAAGCTATTCAGATGGATTTCATCTACAGAAAACATAAAACTGAGGCTAGAGCTTCCTAAATAATGAGCAATCCTAGTTACTTGTGACATTAATTTATCTGGGCAAAAGAGTATATTCTTTCCAGAGATTCTCACGACCGTTTTATAAAATTGGTGTCTTTAAGACATATAAATTTTACATACATTACAGAAGATCAATGGAATTTCATCAGTAACACTACTTGGAGCTTTGCAGATTTCGATCCTGAGTCCCTTGGGAGACCCACCATGCTACCAAACTTTCTGCTTGACAGTGAACATAGCATCAAGTGCTATGTTCCAACTCAACTAAAGTAGCTAGGCCCTTAGGAAGCACTTCATTATTGATTGCTAGATTATTTATTATGCAGTCAATCCTTGTGAAGACAGGTTGGCATATAATTGAACCTAAAAGAATTACATTTTTATGGGAGTTTTGGAGGGTAGCATTTTATATCTCAAAACTGTATGGTAACCACACATTAGGTCAGCTTGACATTGCCTAGTGTCTATGCCAGAGCTCCTGGTTCCTTCCACATGTGCCCTACATGTTGGATTTGGCATGCGTTGAACTTGTGTGGGAGAGGATGAGTCAGTACTTCTGGTTTAGGACCAAAGCTTTGGAGCTGTGTTTGGTTGGAAACCCCTGGCTATTGTTATGAAGGAGAATGGATCAAAATTTTTTATTGACAGGCAAATAGCTCTGAGGAGATGTTGACAGTGTAACCCTGGGTCTGTATCACTCCATCTTCTCTTGCTCTTTAATTAATTCCAACACAACACATTTCCAATCCCAGCAGCCCTGACAGGCACCCTGTCAATGCTGGTCATCATTGTAAATCCCATCCAAATATAGTCAAAACCTTCTCAACAACTCTGTTTATAAAGTTGCTGTTCCAGACTCCCCCAGGCCCCGGAGAACCATCCTCACATTCTCAACGATCAGGCAAGCTTCTTCACATACCATCGTGACTCCTCTGCGGATCAGGACATACATATTATGGGGAACCAAGATGACTGTTCACATCAAGCCCCTCCCCTCCTACCACCACCGCCACCATTTCCATCACCATTTAACCCATCTCCTCACAGCCAGCCTATATCTGAATTGGAAACGTCCCCCCTTATACGTGGGTGTTAGGAAACAGATGAAGGAGATGTAGAGAAAAACAAAGAAGGTTGAGTGGCGCCTTTTTGGTGTTTTCAGTGAATAGAGTTGAGGCTATACTTAGTCCACCTGAGAAAAGTAATCCGGGGAGTGTGTTCTTGTCTGAAAGCTACTGACCATAAAGAATGAGTCATTGACCT